ATATATATATATAGAGAGAGAGAGAGAGAGAGAGAGAGAGAGAGAGAGAGAGAGAGAGAGAGATAAAAGACATTATTATTCAAAGTCATTATGTTGTACTGAAGAGTTTTCAATTATATTAAATTTAAACATCAATGGTCAATATTAAATCTATTTTCTTTCTTGTAATGGTTATGAAAATGCTTATTGAACAAAGACAAAGCAAAATACTTCAAATTAAAAAGTTTGAAAAAATGGAGAAACTTGTAAAAGATAATGGACTACGATTTAGTAAATCGGATTTTATCTTGTATATAATTTATTAGATGAGAAAACTATTTTTTACATAACTATATAAAAAATGAAAATTAAGTGTAGCAGTGCGAAATATATTGAACCTAATATATTAAAGAATGGGAATATCGATTGAGTCATAGCCTGTTAAATTCAAGTTTGGTGTTAAATAAAGTATCTAAAGAAGGCCAACTTTGATTTCTTTGTGTTTATTCAATCATTTAAATTTTATTTGTTTATCTCGTCGTATTTACTAATTTACATCAAAATAAGGGAAGTTTTTGCACATTTAGTGGTTTGTAATATGTGAATTGTAAATTCACTTGTGTACAACAACAAAATCAAACAAGGCTTCAATACACTAAGTGGTGTCATCTACATGAATCCTTTTTCTCCATTGAGTACTACCGGGTGTCATAAAAATTCACTTGTGTAATCTACATAAATTCCATTGTTCAAGATGCAATAGAAAACCTTATCCCTGAACAATCATGCATCAACAATAGGTTGCTTGGAAGTGTTGATCCTATAGGCTTAGGTGATTGGGGAGTAGTCCATTAGTGATTTACTGATAACAAGCCTTGTGCGATATTATATAATAATTTGTTAAGTATTTTATCTCATCTTCATTAATTCAGAGCAATCAAGGTGATGATGATTGTTTCCAAATAAGTAGAGCCCTTAAATATGAACTAGAACTCCAGGTAGTCAATTCATGAAGACTCAAGTGCAAAATAACTAATAGTTTGGTGTGTGTAAATTTTAGGATTTTTCATTATGAATTGATTAAGTAGATTTTACTAATTTCTAAGGGTGTAGAACATTAATTTAAATTAACTAGCTTTTACCTATAATTATTCAAAATATATTTTATAAAGCAAAAATATTATTTCAAAATTTTGGGAAATTATTGGACTTGATTTTAAATTTATTTAATTTATTCAAATTTAATTATAAGTCAAAATTATTTTATGATTAGTAAATAACTGCCTTATTTGCTCATCATTATGAATTTGATCACTTGCATTTTTAAGAAATATAAGTAGAATGCTCCATTCATTGATTTGCTAATTATGTCTATTTATGTCAATTATTTTATAGTTATCATAATAACTAAGGAAAATTAGATTAATGATAATTTGATCAATACTCTTTATTTATATGCTTTTTATATTGGCAAGTTTAATATATTTCATGTGTGTCATATATTTTCTTAAATTTGACTAATTATGATATAATTATATTTGACCAAGTATTGTAATTATACTTAATAAATTTTAGCTTAACATTGATTCCATTAAATTATTGAGTTATTATATAATATACTTTATTTCAATAACAAATGAAATAAGTATTAATGATATAAAATTTCTTCAAAATTATAGAGGACATCGGAGCCACTCCAATGTCAACACATTGGAGTTTGATTTGTGCGAACTTAGCCTAGCAATGGCTAGTTTCCAAGCCATTTGCTACTTTTGGGAATGACTTTTGGCAAAAAATTTTGAACACCCTTTAGTGTCATTTTAAGATGATATTGATGGCTATAAATGATACATATATTACAGTAAAATAATTGATGAATTTGCTAATTCTAAGTGAATTCAATGAAAAATCTTTTTGAGAGTTTTTATCATAAAAAATAAGTGTTTATCAAATTCGAAAAAACTTTTATTCAGTAAGAGTTTTTATCATAAAAAATAAGTGTTTATCAAATAGATCTGATAAAAATTTCATCTTATGTTCTCTCTCTCTCTCTCTCTCTCTCTCTCTCTCTCTCTCTCTCAATCACTTTCAATTGTTATTGTTACAACTAACAACCTAGCAACTGTCCATACTACCAAACCAGTAGAGTAATTGAAATTGAGTGCTGCCACTTCCCCATTACTCAACGTCATACAATCTTTCTGTATCTTTTTCGCTTTAATATATTAACTATTTACAAACTATTTGCAGTTCATCTGAAACTTCTTCCTCCTCTTCTACATCTTTTGTTTAGAATCAGCTTTATACTTTCTACAATTAAAATGAATTTTGATTTGTATTTCCCATTCAACTGTAAATAAAAATTGCATTAATTTATTGGCAATGGCCTTTTGCCATCTCAAAAGTTTTGAAATAACTTTCCTAGTAAATTTTATTTGCAAGTTAACACTTGGTGTAAAGCTTTGATTGAGAACAAGGCATGGGTTACATTTTCCACCATGTTCGTTGTTATAGTTTCCACATCGTCTCGAGATGCAAATGCGTCTACTAGCGGTAGCTAATGGACTTCTACAAAAGTGAAAGTTTTGGGCATGGATGCCGGTCGATAAATTGTAAAACCTTGGAAAATACATTGTCCATTGACCTATAGTTTAAATTTATATACCTTTTATTTTGCTTAGTTCTTCTTTATGTTTAAATGTAAATTTAGTGAATTTGTATCATATCCTCTAGTGTTTATGCATAGAGTGGGCTCTAAAAGAGAAGTGGTCAATTTTATTGATACAATACATAGGCGGCCTTTCATGCTCAGCCATAAAAGAAGCAGTAAATATTTCAGTTATTTCAGTATCAGTTGGCACAATCAGTTTTAACTAGATGGTGATGCATAAATAGAAAATTAAAAAATAGTAGGGGCAATTACAAACAGACCACCTGAAACCTGCTATTTACTAATCAACCACCTTCTTTCATCCATTTTTCAAATTCTCGCTCAAATATCAAAATCCATGGTAAAACCCCAACCTATATTTTTCATTTTTATCAGATTCTCAATAGTTCGATCGTGGCACACGTGAATACATCGGTTTCGTTGTTCAAAAAAATCATCTGGGTGATTAATTTGTAAACATCAATGTTTTGGATGGGTGGTATGCAATTATCCCAAAATATTAGCATCTTCAAAAGAATGTACTTCTAAATCAATCAATTTTATATTATTTTTCTATGGAAAATTTATCATCATTAAGTAAATCAATGAATTGCTATAATCCAGCTTAAATAAGTTCCATGATCCAACAGATAAATTTTGAAATAATTGCTTCTTGTCTCATGTGAAATAGCCTGCTTCAAAATCTTATAAAACTATCAAAAAATTTAGGGGCATTTACATAACATACCACACAAATCCTATTTATTTACATTTCTAACATCTAAACCCTACTTTTTTACTTTTAACCAGCAAAACCTTTCATATCACACATCCAAAATGGCACTATTTTATCTTTAAAAAAGTGAGATGAACCTTTTCATGTATGGGTAAGGCGGCCTATATGTAAAAAATGAAGCATAGATGTTAGATATGTAAATACCTAGGAATTAAAGGGCATGCATTTAAATCTTCCAAAAAATTACCACAAAAACACCACACCTGATTCACGGCTCCGCTCGGAACGGCGGCACTCGGCATCAGATTACTCGAAAATGATACCACACTTCCATAAATTGTCGTGTTAGACGAATCCGATTGATTATCCATGTCCCGACTGCTACCAGTCGGGCTTTGAAGTCGAGAGTTAGTGGCCAAAGCATTACCATCCCTACAACACACCAAACTAAAGTAAGATCACAGCATTAGAAAGAGAAAACAATTATCATGTATTTACATATGTCGCCCCTAAACATTCATATTTACACACATAACACTCAAATACTCAAATTTTTCACACATAACACTCAAATTTTTAATATCACATCAAAAATAGCATTGTTACTACTTTTTAAAAGCAAAATACACATTTTCATACATAGGTTTAAAACAATAATGTGCTATGTGTGCAGATATGAAAGTTTAGGTATGAGATATGAAAATACATAAGAGTTGTGCAATGTATGCAAATTTTCCTAAAAATAAAAAAAAGGAACCTCAATCTCGTCTTTGGGTTAAAGCATTGAATCTTCACCTGCATATTCGATCAAGAACGAATCTCATCAAAGTGGCTATGCTAAAATATCACCCAGGGGGTGTTTGGTAGCATACTTTTAATACGATTTAGCATGGATTTAATTTAAATTTAGCCAAACACCAAAAAAATGAAATTTTAAATCCAGCGCACTGTGAAATCTCATTTCATGATTTTTACAACAAAAATTTGGATTTAGTGAATAGAATTACAACGCATATTAAAGATTTATTCCGTCGTCACTCGCGAGCTCCAACTTCATCGCATAGATTTATCGGATTTACTGGATTTGATGAATCTTATTTAACATAAATTCAAATTGTAGCCAAACACCGCCTAAGGGTGATAATTCTAGTTATAAAGGAGAGTTGAAGCATTTAATGATAAATATAAAAAATTCCTTCTCCAAACAGAACAATATGGCAAATAAATATCAACAATCAATATTTTAAAAGATAATAATTTCATCGGATTATTAATGCTATATTCAATACTTCAATTATACAGTTTTGACTTAGTAAAGGCAGTTTTAAGCAATAAGCAATTCTTTCATTGTTCAGTAGTTACATGGGACATAACTTCAGTGAAAGAGCGCCACTGTTTTAAAAATAAATTCAGTGGAAAACATGCATATACATATCTAACACCTAAACTTTAATTTTTACAATTATGCCATTCAAATCTTCTATATCACACCAAAAAAAACCACTACTTTTAACTTTTAAAAAGTAAAATACACTTTTTCATGCATAGTTAAGGTGGCGTATACATAAAAATTAAAGTTGAGGAGCCAGATATGTAAAAACATAAGAATTGAGTGTTATGTATGTAAATCTTCCAACATAAAATGCACTCCTCACCTGTAAAATTGTACCATAACCGCATTTATTTAACGGCAACATGAGAGGACTAGAGTCGGTTGAATCTATATGATCTGCTAGATTCAAAACAATCTCTCCTAAAACACCCGGTTTAACCGATCCCTGTAACAAGAAGCCATAAATTTCAAATAAATTAGAAAAATAGAAATGTTATCAAATATTCAATTAAAGAAAATTACAAATAAATTCCTTAATCACAATTCATAACCACACCACATATCTTCATACCATGGAAATAATGAATTTGAAAAAATATTCGCCGCGGTTTTTTAATCCGCCATCTTGAGAAAAAGGAATAAATTCTGATAAACTTTCCGTCCATTGACACGTTCCGCTATGTACAGTCGCCTTGTTTGATTTTGCAATTGTCTTTCCCGTTTCAACCGAGACAACAGAAACATAAAGCTTATCCCATCCTTTTGGAACCTGTTCGAGAAAAATATCAGTTTGAAACTACAAAGATGAAAGATAGATCTCAAAAGATTGCAAAACTAGTTCAATTATTGTGTAAAGTCATATTATATAGAAAGATTCACATGCATAGCACTCAATTCCAATGTAATTACATATCTAACACCTAAAATTCAATTTTTACATGCATGTCACTTTATATATAAATGGAGAGGTATATTTCACTTTTTAAAAGTTAAACTGGTGGGTTTATTTATGTGATATGAAAGATTTGGCGTGGTGTAAATGTAAAAAATAAAATTTAGGTGTTAGATATGTAAATTCAAGAATTGAGTGGTATGCATGTGAATGCCCCTATTCCATAATAGTATGACTATACTGGAGAAGATATTTAATTCATAATTACAAGAAGAAACCAACTAATATGGCATGTAATTGTTGCAGGGAACAATCTCCATTAAACAAAAAGTAAGAAGATATGTTTGGCAGAGTGATAAATAAAACCTATCAAATAACAACCATGAAATTAATAATTAAAGTCTACAGTTTTATTTACAAATGAGAGCACAAAATGCTATCAATTATATATTGCAAGAATGGAAAAAAGAGACAATTAGCATAACCAACTCCAAGCATAACATCATAAACATAGATACAATGGGTTTTGTTGAATTCTACAAACTATTTTGATGGATAACTCCAAGAATATCAAAGAAGTGAAGGGCATAGCAAATCTTCAAATATAAGGCAAGACGAAAGAAAAAGGTGCATTTACATACATATCACTCGATTTCTATAACTTTACATGCATAGAAAAGGCCGCATGTATGTAAGAAATTGAACTATAGGTGAGTATGACAGCACGATACTGCACGAAAAAATGAAATTCAACAAATTGAAGAAAAGATATCATAAAGTGGCAAGAGTTGTCTATGAAAGAAAAAAAAAACTAATTTATGTTTGAAACAAATTTATTTTAGAATTTATATTAGTATCTTTGTCCAACCGTCCACTCTTGCCTTAGTAATTTGACCTCCCAAAACCGAGTCGTGGCAAGTTGTGGGGGTTGTTTTCGGTGATGGAAATCAAGGAAATTGGGGGAAAGTGAGAACAAGTAACACACCAACCATACCAATAACACTTAACTCCAACAAGTACAATTAATTCATCAAGAAACCACATGAAATAATCAGAGACCTCTTCTCTTTTTTTTTTTTTTTTTTTTTTTTTTGTTTCTGTATTGAAATAAAACAAAACATTTTTGGTGTGATATAACATGTTTAGTTACTTTTAAAAACTCTAAAAACAATTTGTATATATTTTGAGTGTTTTTAAAAATAAGCTAATTTGTTTTAAATAAATAAATAAATAAATACATGCAAAAAATGCACTAAACAAACGTGTTTTTAAAATAAAAGCAAAATCAAAAACAAAAAACAAAAGTGATCCCAAACAAGCCCTAAGCTAACACAAAAACATGAAATCTCCATTAATGCTTGCAAAATTGAGTTTTTTTTAGCATGCAGTGTTATTTTGTTAGTGCTGATGTTGTCCAAAATAAAGTCATCATTTTTCTCATAAAATAGACAAGTTGCTGTGCAAGTGTGTTGCCATTGTTGTGAATACATGGATGCTTCTCACAGAGATTAAAAGACTGTTATGAAAGGCTTCAGTAAAACTTTTTCAAAAGGAAGTCGCCGTCCTGTTGAACAGAGCAAGCTTAATCAACTCAGATAACACCATTGCTTGTTACAAAATAAAGCTAAACTAATCAAACCTCTAAGAAATGCTCCAACTAGAACAAGCGGTGAAATGATTACAAACCCAAGCTAATTTTGTTGCTTAATGAATCCATTATTTCATGTGTAAATACTCAAATTAATATGTCAATCAATGAATTAAATATCTGCAGTTCCAAAAGCTAAAAACAACCAGAAATGAACAAGCATCTCGAAAAACATCTTCCCCTTTCCATTCTTCCACTCAGAGATTTCCACCATGCTAAAAGCTCAAAAGCTCGTCTACTTTAATGGTGACGATAAAAGACAGATTGAACAACAGAGTCCCCAAACAAGGCACAGAAATTGGCATACGAAGAACCCTAATGAAACGCCATAAAATGCATCAATACCTTAAAGGCCTGAAAATTAGAGAACTTGAACTCCACCCGCTCCCCCAACCTCTCCGACCTGTGCTTATGTAGCCTAAACATAACTTCCGCCCACCCTCTCCCTAATCAATCCAACGCACGAGCGCCGCAAAGAAGAGAGCAGAAAGAACTGAAAGGAATCATAAAAAAGTCAGCTTTTTCCCCTCTTTCTCCTCCTCTGCTGCACTTTCAAGTAAAAGCTGGATCAAGAGACGGAGAGAGACGCGGAGGCAGAAAGCGGAGAAAATGGAGCATCTAGGGAGGTTTTCTGAGAACCTTTTTGCCGAATTCTGAAGGAATTTTGGCTTTTTTTTAGCTGTAGGACAGATGGAATTAAGAGCTAGATGGCGCATGGCCGACGAGGTGAGTCTCTTTGCCATAAATTTATTTGCACCCGCTTTTCTGCACCCATGGTCACCCAAGCTGTGCTTAGCAACCAAGCATGGTAAGACGAAACTTCGTCCTTCTGCGTGCTCTTAGTGACATCTGTACGGTAATGATGGAGTTGGACTGATAATATGCAGAATTGGGATTGTAAATTACGAAATGGGGAAATAAAGAAGGAGAATGTCCTCTGAATTTTAGGATATTTTCTGTATTTTATTTTATTTTGCATGTAATTTCCCTTTAAATATTTAATTTATTGCCAATTCATGCTCAATGTGTAAGACATTTGTAGATAATAAAATAAATAATTTTAAGATTTCGAGCTTAGGGGTGTAAAGGAGCGTGGTCTCCTTGTTAACAATTTCACAAGCCGAGTTTATCAAGCCACAGGCTCGAGCATGAGCTCATTTATTAAATGGGCTTGAGTTCAAAGTAGTCCCGGTTCGGTTCGTCGACTTGAGAGTTGACTCAATTAGCTTACCGATAGTCATTTCTATGCATTTCCCATTGAGTTGTTGTTGCATCCTCCTCATCGGGCTGCCAATACTTTTCTGGCAAGGCCCCCTAAAACTTGGATTTTTAGTTCAAGCTTGCGAGTCTACTCGTGAGCTGACTATTGCCGCTACGAGCCGAGCACGAGCTAGACACTCAGGCTCGACATGAGCTTAAGTTCGAGCTTGAACTCACAATTTGACAGACAAGTCGAACTCTAATTTGGCATGGCTCGGGCTCCACTCGACTCGTTTACTCCCCTAATCGAGTATGAGTTCTTACTTTGTCCAAAAAAATATACTCACACAATTTATGTAATTTCTATATCAATACATCTGTTTGGAATCTATTTTAATACATTAGATATATTTAATAAAAATAATAAAAGATTTCTCTAATTTTGCTCATTTGAATTCAATAAAAAACAATTCATATATTTTTCTGTATATTTAATAATTTATTATTCTTTATTTAAAAAATTACTTATAATCATCACCAATGTTGAAACCAGTGTATGGTGGTAAAGAAAATATTACCTCCAAAAAATCGGGCTTCCGCACAACGACCTAAATCACCACGCCCTGTGCACAACAATGTGGTGTGATCTATGTCGTCGTCCGGACGATAGACGTAATATTCTCTTGGTGCAATTTTGCCAGCCTCACAACTTAAATTATCCAGGATAAATTAAAGGTGGTCGTTGTCAGTAACTTAGCCCTAAGTCGAATAATTTTTAACATTAACACTAAGAGAATATACTATGTATGATAAATCGGACATGTGATCTATGACGTGAATTCGCACTATATAATATAATTCACGTCATTATCGACATTCACTAACAAAACACTTAAATTTTATCCATCGAAGAAGACGGGCCGTCTTCTTCGATCCTTCGAGATTTGGTGGACACGAAGCTTAAATAGAAAATAAAATAAAATATATTAATGCATTTTTCCGTATGAAAGGAGCGATAATTCCCACGTTATATTTATGACCAAGAAGTAAAGGAATGGCCCATTAATTTTGATATTATATTGTTAGACTTATGAGCTACATGACTATTGGACCTCAATTACATGCACAATGCAAGATTTAATGCATGATAGGGACATTGTATTTTTAGTGTGAAGAGCATTTTTGACCTTAAATATTTGGATTTTTAATTATTATATTTGGGTAGTATTTAATATGCTAGGAGCATTTGCATACACACCATCACATTTTTATGTATTTATATATTTATATATTTATTTATTTATTTTCATTTATGAAGCTAAAATATTTTATATCACATCAAAAATATCATTATTTTAACTTTAAAAAATTAAAATGCACATTTTTCATATGTAGATAAGATGATATCAAACTATATTGAGACATTAAATCATATATATATAATTATAAATAAAAAAATTAGGAAATTTACACATTTACCCTGCAATCCTTAAATATTTACTTATCTAAGACCTAAAGTTTGATGATGTCTGCACTTATAATATCTTGGTGGCATAAACCTAAGCATGAAAAAGTATATTTCACTTTTAAAAAGGTATTTATGTTATATTTTTAATATGATCTTAAAAATTTATGTGGCGTGTATCTAAATATAATTGTTTTGGAGTTAGATATGCAAGTCGTCGACTGCGGGGTCGTCGGGTACGAGAGTAGTGAGCGTCGTCAAGAGCAAGTGAGACGTCGTCCAATACAGAGACGAGCGTTGTCGACAGGAGGACGCCTGCGAGAGCGTGAAAGCATTGTCTCGAAAGGCGAGAGGGAGAAAGTGAGAAATCGAGGAATCACCGTCGAGAATCGCCATCGTGCGAAACCCTAGCAGAGCTGGCTGGAGTTGCCGACACCATATATATATATATATATTGAAAAAGGAAATTTTTAATTACGAAAACTTGAGTCCGAATAGCTTTCATATATTCAATAGTTTGAATAACCGAGCACGATATCACAAATAATATTTGATCTCATAAGATTAAAATATCACTTGATAATAGACTAAATGATTCAAACTAAAAAATTTATGACTTTTTCATGTCATCATGAATTTTACATTCATAATGAGGACCTTTGGCTTGCAAAATGTTAAGATGTTTATAGAATGATTATTAGGCTTGTATCATTTATAATGGTGAAATAAATGTTGAATATTCTTGTATTTTAATAAGGATTCTTTGTCATGGATTTTTAATTATTATATTTGGGTAGTATTTAATATGCTAGGAGCATTTGCATACACACCATCACATTTTTATGTATTTATATATTTATGCATTTATTTATTTATTTTCATTTATGCAGCTAAAATATTTTATATCACATCAAAAATATCATTATTTTAACTTTAAAAAATTAAAATACGCCTTTTTTCATATGTAGATGAGATGATACCAAACTATGGTAGGAATCTTATGCTGAAGTTGTTGTTGAGACATTAAAAGAATATATATAATTATAAATAAATAAATTAGGAAATTTACTCATTTACCCTGCAATCCTTAAATATTTACATATCTAAGACCTAAAGTTTGATATCTAAACTTATAATATCTTGATGTCATAAACCTAAGCATGAAAAAGTATATTTCTCTTAATTTTTTAAATAAGGAGATATTAAATCATCAATTTCTTTTAATTTTTTTTATTTAAAAAATAAGTTTTGAGAGAAATGATTAAAACTAACCACATCATATTAAAATGCAATTGAAAATGAAGAATTTTATATTTAGTTTGTAAGAAAATATGATTTTGTTGTCACATTAAAAAGTATTATGAAACCTTAGAAAATCAAAATTCATAAGCTAGTATAGATCCTATTGATAAAAATCAATCTAATATCTGAAAAAATTACAAAACCAAGCAAAACATGATACTGTAATTACTTAAAAACTCAAAAGGAACGATTGTTGTCTTACGTTCCCTACAAAAAGAAGAAAAGAAAAAAAACTTCAAAGGATAAAAAAGTAAATATCAAAAACTATTTCTTACCAGTATTAGAAAATTCTAACTCATTTGAAGAAAAAAACAAAATGCTTGCAGCATTTTGTACTCAAAGTGTTTTGTATAGTTGATGTTGTTAGGGGAAGTGGTTCTTTGCTAATGTATGTACTTGTCAGTCTATCTTTTTAACATGGTGCGGCAACTCGAACAGCCCGTACGAATTTTGAGACTCCCACCTACCCGAGCAACCAGCTATTGCGAAAGCAATCAACAACCCACACGACATATCCTCCACTCATACAATACAACATCGAAAGTTTTTTTCTCAACCCTCAGCCAAGGAGATGCAGCCCTTGCAAAGGATGCTTCCTACCTTCTCTATGAGTTTTTCCCTTCAAATTAGAGCAAAGCATAACCTTAATTAAGCCCCACATGCAAATCACATGTATGAATGTTACTTCATTTTATTTTTATAAATGCAAATCATTTCAAGATTTTGTCCTTATTCTATGTCTATTAAGCCTAACGGCAAAACTAATAATATTACATTTGTTTTGTCTTTATCTCCAAATATGAAACAATAAATTTTTAAAATATAATTGATTTTATTTTGACATTTTCATTATAGTGCATAAAAAACTAATTTGTGGCATAATTATTAATGTTTTATGCAAAAATCAAGCAAACATATTTTAAGATTTGATCCAAATATTTTTTAAATTTTGCATTTGACCCTCAAAAGAGCTAGAAATATTCTTATGAATTTTAAATTAAAGATGATTAGTTGAATATAAGATTCATATTTTTAAATATCATGTATTACGATTTATAAGAAAATATGATATTTTTCCTACTAATTTGAGATTGTTATAAGTGTACAAACGAGTCGAGACGAGTACGAGCCACTCTCGACTTGTGTTTGATTAACTTAAACTAGTTTGAACTCGTGTTTAATTCTACGAGTTTGAGTAGACTCGCAACTAGCCTGATTATTATGAAGAAGAGAAAAAAATATTTTAATTAAAGTTATTGTATATTAAAATAATAAATGAAAGAGCAATTATATATAAATAATAAGAAATCATTTCACACAAAATAATATATATATATATTATTGTTTACACCTTTTTGATAATTTAAAGATAAAAAAAAATCAATATATTTTGAGTATATTTTATATCAATTATTTTTTGAACGAGTAGGCTCACAAGCTAACGAGTCGAGTTGGTGTCATGATCAAACCATCGAGAATTTGATAAAAATAAAAATATGTGAGCTGACCAAACTCTTGACATTTGAGTGAGAATTTGAAAATTGAATGAAACATGGGCTATATTTGTAAATAACAATATTTTGGGTGCTATTCAGACGTAAATGTTCCGTCGAATTTTGTGTCGAGTTTATTTGAGTTAGGCATTTTAAACATATTAATTTTGAGTGAGATATTAGACTCAAACCCAATATGTTAACCTAGATT